CATCTACCCAAAAAAAAACCTTGCCCGCTTGCTGCGCCATAGTATATATGAGTAGAAAGCAAGGAGCAGGATTGCTTCATGCTTTGCACAGCACTGATCAGCTGCAAAATGTAATGAGGGACGTTTGCACTCCTCAGGCAGGTCTCAGAGATCACAAAGGTAGGTTTAAAAAAACAAAACAAAAAACAAGAACCCCTCAGACAAATCCTGAGGTTGCCCGCTTAGATGCCCTATGGTGCTAGCATCTTGGAAAGGACTGTTCCTGCCAGCACAATGGAAACTGCTCCCCCAGCCAAGGGAGGCAGACCCATACTGTGTCAGAGACCGTCTTGCCCAGCACCACACAAGTAGTAAGGGAAGATCTAACTTGCAAGAGAGGCTGGGAAGAAGCATAGCTGTTGAGGCTTGTTCTGTGCAGTTTATTTTAAAAGCAGTTTTTTTGTAATAAGCCTTAAAAACAATTAAGGAGTATTTTTAAAAATTTAAGTGACATTGTTAACTTGAACCTTACTACTTTAACCCCCATCTCCCCCCCCCCCCCAATGCTGCAGTTTCTTTTGTTACCCCCTATCACAGTGATTTTCTGAATTTAGTGGTGCTCAGTTGAAAAGTTATGGAGAGGGTACCTTAAATCCAAAGAGGTCGAGAACCACTGGTGTAGGGAAGAGGAGAAGCGTGTACAAATAAAATGGCAACAGTAAGGCACAAAATGAGTTACAACTAGCAAGGAACAAACAGGAAAAAAAAGTTCTATAAATACATTAAAGCAGCATATAGATCCCTTATTTAATTGAAAAGGAGGGCAAATAAGAGATGAGACAGCACAAAATGCAGTATTCAGTGCTCTTCCTGCTTTAGTCTTCCCTGAAATTACTTATGGCCTGAACTTAACACAGTTAATATAAATGAAGGAAGGGGATCGGGGGCTGTAACAGGGAAAGAACAGCTTAAAAGTATTTAGATAAGTTAATTGCATTCAAGTTGGTGATGAAATTCACCTTAGATGTACTTGAAGAACTAGCCAAAGGAATTGCTGAACCACTAGAGATTATCTTCAAAAGCTTGTGGGGGAGGGTACAGGCCTCAAAGGACTGGTGAAGGGCAAATATGTTACTTACTTTAAAAAGAAGAAAACAGAGGGCCTGGTAATTATAGACTAGTCAGACAACTTTTGGTATCTGGAAAGACATTAGATGACTAGAACAATTAATTAAATGACCCATATGTAAGCACACAGAGGTTAATAATGCAATAAAAAGCCCATATAGATTTGGCGAGATCACAGGACGTCAGCCGTATAGAAATACCCTCTTTGACAGGGTCTAACAAATGAGGGGAAAACAGAAATGTTACATATTTTGACTTCAGTGACACTTTTGAAACTTTCCCAACATGATAGTCTCACAAGCAAACTAGGAAATAGCCTAGATTATATCTCCATAAAGTAGGCCTACAGCTCATAAAAGAATTACACTCTAAGAGTAGTTATCAACAGCTCGCTGGGAAACTGGGAAGGCATTTCAAACAGGGACCTGGTAGGGTCTGCCCTGAGCTCTGTTCTATGCAATGTTTTCATTTTCAAATTTTATTACCATTGATTTTATATTTACTTTCAAATTGCTGGAAAAAAAAATGAATAAAACATTGATTTATATTGCATTAAAAAGAGATATCATTTTGATATCTCAGATTTTCAGATTTTTTCCTGTCATAATGCTTTTATTTACCCTTGAATAACACTTCATCTAATTTCAACTCTTTCCTCCTTCAAGAGGATATCAAAAACAATTATTCTGAAAAGTATTCAAGTTCTATAACTCCCCTCTTCAGGTTTATTTTCATTGCATTAAGATATGCTACCCTAATAACCTGAGCAAAACTCAACAGAAACTGAGATTAAAAGTGAGCTTCATAACTTAACCCATTATCTTTTTCACTAACATTTCCTTAGGTAGGACTGACAAGCAATTAACTTATTGGAGGCAACCTCCCTATTATACATTTTCCAAAAAGTAAATCTACTTTTTCAGGATTTTGGTGATCATGTTGTTGAATTCATCTCTTCAAAAGAAACTAGAGGCAAGCTAATATAAGCCCCATGTAAATCTAACTTTATAGCAAAGGAAAATGCAGAGGAAGAAGATCCGAGTTCACGCAAGCGATACAGATAGGATTTCAAATTCCAAGGAAGACATGGAATAATACTTTGAAAAAACAAAGACTTCGGATAAAAAGAAAATGAATGGTTTGAGGTTACAGCACCTGAAACTGGCACAAGCAAGAGGGAAAAAATGTTATCCTTAAAGGATAACATAAAGAAGATTAAAAATGGCTTCCATTTAAAATCTTCACCAGAGAGGGAGATAGAAATTTATTTTAATAGCCCTCTTACCAAGAAGCACTTTCAGCCTTTCTTATGGTTCCAAGCCCTGCTGCCATTGAACAATTGAAACCTATTCCCAGAATGCACGAAGCCAAAAACTACAGCCTTCAGCCCTTATACAGCACATTTATCCAGAACAAAGTTTCTGGGGTCTGAGAAGGAGATGAAACACTATTCTGCTAAGCAATGTGCATTTAACAGACAGACAGCAAGAAAACAATGCTTGTTTTTGTGGCCTGCACTCAAGGGCATGATAATAATTTCCAGAAAGGAACAAGGAACTGTTTTACCATCTTATTCATTCGACACACATAAGGGAAGAAAACATACCATGATGGACAACTCTTCCTAGAGAGTCCTCAAATTTAATTGTTACTATAGTATATAATGCTTCTCTGGGATCACTGCATTAGGTATTCTCTGCTACTGTATAAAACGAGTGAAAGAATGAAGAGGGAAAAAATACTTCAAACTATACAAAAAGAGAAGGCATATTTTTGTGCTTCCGAAATGTAGCTGAAAGCTCAGTTTAACTGAATACCAGGCCAATACACGACTGGTAAACGAACATCTCTTTGCTGCTCATTTTGTGTTATTTTACCTTTAATTTAAAAAGTAATTCCAGCTAAACTCAGTTGAACAGCATAAAGCTCTTGATATTTTAAAGCACTTTGGAACAATTACTTTGATGGGAGCCCTTGACAGTTAAATGACTCTTAACTGAATGTTATAGAAGACGCAATGATTTTTAGTGAAATATTGAATTTAACCACAAATGAGGAAAACCAGTCTTAAGCACCCTGGGTTCATTTGAATAATAATGTCTCGTTTATAAAGCTCAGTGGACTTTGTATTGTCTAATAATCAAGCTATTAGCTAGTTAGGCCAACTTGAGATTTCTCATCCTATTTCTCTACATTCTTGTTTGGTTTATATCTTATTATGGTTTTTAAATCTAAAAAGCCGATACAGGAGTTTATAAACTTGCAATGTGTGTGGCACTTGTGCAATATTTTATTACAAAGGAATCGCATGACAAATGAGAATTAATTTCTCAGCACAAATATTCTGGCTTGTTTTTTGACAGGATTCTTTAAGAAGAATATGCTGCTCAAAAGGGGGCCAATTCTGTAATCTTTAGCAAAACAAAACTCCTGGTAAAGCCAATGCGATATTTTTATGAATAAAGCAACTAGGATTAGGGTCACACAACATGCATTCGTTTATTATACAACATTCTCCACATAGCTATGATTCCACTTATTTACTTGCAGGATGTGAAATGGCATTGGGCTTTCATGATTTTGCATGACTATCTCAGGAAATCAACACTGAAATAATATCTGTTACAGTTCAATTTTTTTTTTTTTATCGCACTCCAGCATAAAATGGAAAACAAGGTGCTATTCTTGTGATGCCAAAATCCTACTTGTTATAAAACTTTATTTGTTGGGTGAAAAATAGGAATTGAAAACAATTCACCATGAGTTCATTTCCCAGTAAGTTTAAAGAGGGAAAAATCTCAATGCTGAAGAAACGAGGCTGAAAAATAGGGATGCTATGTATTCAGTTTCTCTGGTGAAATGAGGTGGAATGACTGTTTCACAGTAGAAAGGCCAACAACAGACAGGAAGGCAATATTTATTGGGATCTATGGCCTGTTTAAAGCTTTTAACTCCTTTGTCTGACACTGAAAACACTGAAAAATATTGTAGTTGTAATACTTGAAGCTTGTTGGGAAACGGAAGACTTCAGGTACATAAATTGATGAAGTAAGATCTTTGTTGGAGCATTAGTCAAACAAGGTAACAGAAGGAGTGACAGTTACAAAGAATGGTTACGAGATCACAAAATCCTAGTTAGGTCCATTTTAGCCGCCTGACATTTTTATTCCTTAGGTGACTAGCCTGTTCTCCTATAAGTTTTTCCATACTATATCTGGTGCCCACAGCAGTATTGGTGCAGATTTCCTTGCTACACAGCCCTGGGTCCAGGATGTTCAATATCATTTACTAATGCAGGTGTGTGAGCTCATTCATGCTAATTTGCTTGGAACCTGTTCCCACTGCATTCCACATCCTCCATGCTTAAAGAAACAGCTGTTCCACATAAAGCTCTCCAGTTTTTTCAAGAAGCAATCCTGAGACATTATTACTTTATACAATGCTGGACTACTGGCATTTGCAGCTATAGAATCTTCAGGCTACACTGTGTTTATTTCCTCACTGATAATGTTAATCATGACAGCAGGGATATTTCAACCATGTAAAAATTTTAGGATTCCATACACTAGTTAATTACTTTTTCCCATTTTTTTCCCTGCCCATTTTAGAATTTCCAAAAAACTACAGTAGTGATTTTTTTCTTTACAAGTCAGAAATGGTTCACTGAGCAGACTGACACTATTTCGTTTGTAAGAAGCAGCTATGACTCTAATATAATTTTCACTCCAGATTCCCAGCTAATGTATCTGGGGATCCTGATGTCTGCATTTACTAAGAGACATCTGCAACACATATAAGCTGGCCCTCTGCATTTCCATAAAACATAGGTGAAAATTTTGCCTTGCTTTTTTTTGCAGCTGCTATGCAACAATGATAAATTTCTATATACTCACAGATGTAGAAATATTCCCGGCCTGGCCTGAACTCAAATCCTAGTGAGAACGGAGTGAAGAGCTGGAATTTTTCTGAGAACTTCAACGGTCCATTTGGGGAGTGAGGCCGATTACATTCCCACCTCTTGAATCCTTTGGAAGTGTGATCACAGGAGCTGTAGCCATCGAAATTCACCATGTAAAGAACGTAGCGTTCAGTCTTATCTTCTGGTACTGAATCCTCATAGTGAGGACAGAACACATCTAAATAATCATTGATGCAGACATCAATGTGGTAGTCCCCTCTCTGGAATCTAAAATTAAATGAAAATTCAGACAAAAGACAAGAGTTACCTTACTATAGAGCTCTTACTATGATTATAAAATTTTCATTTGCACTTTTTTACACTTCAGCCTCAACACACATTCTTAAATAAATCTTAGAAATTTGACTCTGGGTGTAAATGGATGCAATTCTACTAAAGTCAGATAGGCAGAGCCAGCTTTTACAGGGCCTTGGTCATACCTTGGGGTTCATTCCTTTGGCATACAAGAGTTGTTTTCTTTCTAATGCATTATTGCCAACTCTCATGATTTTTGGCGTTGTTCTTAAAATCTATGCTTTGGGAACATGAAAAACTTAGCTCTTTCTTATATCTACAGATACGTGTATATATAGGAGGTTGCTTCTATATATATAAGAAAGAGCTAAGTGTTGCACATTCCTGAAGCATACACTTTAAGAACAATGCCAAAAATCATGAGAATTAGCAACACTGCTAGTGTTTACTAAGTTAAAGTCTATGCTTTCCAGTAGTTTTCTGAAGAGGATTTTTTTTTTTTATAGTTAAATTATAATATTTTAATTGAAAATTAAGCATGAAGAAAAGACAGAGAGAAATACATCCAACTCAACAAAATAGTACCTGCATATTTATCAACTCAGAAAATGCAAAAAACCCAAATCCACACCTCTCACTTGTATCCAACTGTAATAACTTCTGCATTGCAAGCTGATTTGACTGTATGTACTTAGAGGTACTACAGCAGCAAAAAACATTTATTTTTTCTGCATTATTGGCAACCCTTTGTCATGATACAAGAGAATGCCTGCAGGGTGTAGATGGACCCAGTACAGACATTGCTATGGTCAGATACCAGGATTTTGGGATAAGAATTATCAGCACTCAACCTAATGTGACAGTTCTGAATAAGGGTCAACTAAGAATTGTAGCACAAGGCACTGGGCCACATGAACTTAATATCATTATTATTAATGATGATTCTTTAGACAATCAAGAGCCGAGGCTTTGCTAATATCACTTACTGTAGCTCTCTAATGCCAGGTATAGTTTCTAGAAGAAACTAGAAGAAATCCACTGCTTCAAAATGAGCCTACCAGGATACACTGAAAGATTCCATAAGCCAGTGTTTATAAGTGTCAGCATGGCTAGGGACAGATATTTGAAAAGCTGGAGCCTGATTGAGTCAGTTTGCAACTGTAGAGACATTCTGTTCAGACTGAGGAAATGCAGGCACATGCCTACAGTTGCTCAGGCCAGGAGCTGGGGAGTGCTGCAGGGACTGTGATGGGCTGGCACTGCCAGTCCCAGTAGTAACTCGAAGTGAACTGGTCAGGGAAAGGTTGAACGCGAAGTGAATTGGCTATGTTCTCCACCCTATCCCACCGGCACAGACCAGGGCTGGGGTCCACCTGGCACTCTCCCTTTGTTGCTGCAGCAGCAGGGCCAGGGGCACAGTGAAACAGCAGCCGGCATGGCCCCTGAGGCGGGGAAGAGGAGGGAGGGGAGTTATTCCCACTCTAGCCCCACTGCCCCTGGGGGGAATCACAGCAAGGTCTGCCCACTCTGACCACTGCCACTGCCGCTTGCTCCTTGCATGGGGCAAGGGATTAGATAAGCTCACTCTTGCACCCTCCAGCAGATGCCAGAGGGAGGAGGAGTAACCCTTCTCCCTGCCCCCATGCTTAAGGCCCCTGGCAGATGGCCTCTGACTGCACACCTGTCTCTACCACTGGAGTTCCTGCCTTGGTGGCTGGGCAGTGCAAGCCTCTTCCTGGCAAAGGGGCTGCAAGCAGGGGTCCGCACTACTGCAGACAGCAACGGCATCCGGGCTTGGAGGGGGCCACTGTCCCCACCAGCACCACTGCCACAACTCATCTGCGGCAGCTTTCCCCATCTCACCCTGCCCCTCTGGGGAAGGGGCAGCACAGCCACCCTGCCGGGAAGAAACTCATGCTCCAGGACACTATGGCAGGGGCTGCTGCCCACATCATGGTCGCTCCCTCCACACTGCTCCAGGAGTGGGGCTGGGGTCAGAGGCGCACGGCCCCTTAGGCATGGGTCAGGGAAGGGGTGTTATTACTCACTCTGCCCCTGGGGGAGCTGCCGAAGGGTCTACTGGTCCTGACTGCCATCACCACTGCTCGCAGGGAGCAAGCAGCAGGATAAGCCTCCTCTGCCAGACGGAGGGGGAAATAACACCCCCTCCTGCCCGTCGCTTAAGGGACACTTCTGGCTGGGCTCTGGCTGCTCCCCTGCTCTGGAGCGGTAAGGGGCGAGTGACCCTGACAGTGGCAGCAGCCCCCGTCACAGCCCTGTCTCTTGAGTGGAGGACCACGCTCTGCAGGTGGGGGGGAACGAAGAAAGCTGCTGCAGATGAGTGGCACTGGGGGGCCATGGATCCTTCTGAGCCCTGGTACCACCACCCACCCTGTGGCAGTGCTGATCCCTGCTCGTAGCCCCCTCACCGGGAAAAGGCTTGCACTCCCCAAATACCAGGATAGAGGCTGCAGCCTCGTCAGGGCTAGGCCCCCTCGCCACTCCAGCAGCAGGGTCAGGGGCCTGGCCAGAACCTGGCCAGCAGAGCCTCTTAGGTGACAGAGCAGGAGGGGGCTTATATTGCTGCTTGCTCAATGCATGGAACGAGTGGCAGCCATGGCAGTTGGGGGGGGGGGGGAGG